AAATCCGGCGGCTAACTCCGGTTCTGAAATGTCGAGGAGCAAAAATCTGCGTAGAAACCGTAAACAGATTTACATTCAAGCAAAGTCACACGAGCCCTCCTCCTCCTCCGGATTCAAGTTTAAGCATTAATCTTTGCCTCAGGCTTTTTAGTTTTACTCTTGACAAACACTTTTGGCAGTACTGAGAGCAGAAGACACTGAGTTTGTGTTGAACAGAGAGAGACAAACTTGGGGTAAAGGTCTCACCCACTCTGAGTGGAGCTCCACAAACCTAAAGTCTATAATTCAGCGAGTGATCCTACAAGGCAAAAAGCAAAGCTCCGTCGGGTTGGTTCCAGACGGGAAACGCTTAGTTTGTTCGTTTGGTGGAACAGAAGAGCCTCTTCTTCTTTGGCCGTTTCCCCTCTAAAAGGATTTAAACTCCAGTAGAAACTCTGAGAGAACAGGAGGAACATCCTTTTCTCCTTCCCGACAACAAACAAACAAACAAACAAACAAACAAAAAGAGCCCAGCCCTGTGGACGGGCCCATCATTCAATCAGGTCGCCATGGCGACCAGAAACCGGCCAATGAGCTCCACCGGGAGACGACGGCGTGCGAATCTCCTCGTCTCAAAAGAGAGTCCTTCAAAAAATGAGGAATCAGCACAAACTCGAATTCCAAACAAAAAAGCCTTTGCAAAAAAAATAATAATAAAAAATCTCGTTTTCCTTAAAAAAAAGGACAAAAAATTAACTTTTTTTCCAGCTTGACAAAAACACGTTTTCTCCCTTATTTAATCATTCGCCCGTTTGCCCGCTTCGGGACGTAAAGAATAAAGAAATAAATAAAACCCCAGCGCTCCCACTCCGACTACCAGGAGGAGAAGAAGGGCCTCTTGCAGTGGAAGGTCTGCGTGAAGGCGTTGCCGAGGGTTACGACGCGGCCATGGCCGCCGGAGCGGCTGCGCTCCACCACCACCCGCGGCATCTGCACCAGCTCGATGGGGCTGCGCCCGTCCTTCAGGGCCTGGGTCAGGTTCAGCACCTGGAGACAGAGGGGGGGGTCAGGGGAGAAAAAACAGAGGAGTTTCAGCTCGATTTTTCACCGGGAACGACTGTTTTCATGTAAAAAATGTCAAAAAAAGAGGAAAAAAGAGGAGAGAACTTGGGTTGGGGGTAAAATAAAAATAAAAAAGTAATAACAATTACATTTTTCACTGGGATCTACCTTTGTCATGTAAAAAATGTTAAAAAAAAAAAAGAGGAGTGAACTTGCGTTGGGGGTAAAATAAAATAAAAATGTAATAATTCCTTTTTCACTGGGATCTACCGTTGTCATGTAAAAAATGTTTTTAAAAAAAAGAGGAAAAGGGAGGAAAAAAAGAGGAGAGAACTTGGGTTGGGGGCTAAATAAAAAAAAAATGTAATGACAAAAATAACCCGGTGCGTCTTATATATTGATCAGGAATGAGTTGCAACAGGTCTGGCAACTAAAGGAAGCAGCCACAATATAAAAAATAATAAAAAAGCTCTTTATTCATTCTGGGTGTGAACTGAGTCGTCAGAACGCTGGTTTGTATTATTTTAATAAAGTCTGATTGTTTTGTTGACGTTTTCTTTAGCGTAGCTGCATCTGGTGGATGCTAACGCAGCCCCAGACTCTACTGGAGCTTCTACTCTATGAGGCTTATAATGCGATGCGCCTTATAGTGCAGAAAATACGGTAATTAATGAATGATCTATTTTTAGGTTAATTGTTCTGATTTGGATTCTTTGATGTAAAGATCCCTGAATTGCCTTGTGTATGAACTTTGCTCCACAAATAAACTTTCCTTGCTGACATGCTGACTGCTTCTCATTTTGAAACTACTAACTACTACTTTTAACAACCAAAATCTGGCAAAATACTTTGAAACTGAACTAAGAAATGCGGTTAAAGGTGAGAACAGAAGAAGGGACAGGGGACGTATAACACACTGAGGACACACAGTAGCCTTATGAGAGGGAAAAGGCAGGCAGGATATTACAGGAAAGAACCAGAAACAGGACAACACAACCCGGAAACCGACCAGGACTAGGGTTGTCACGATACTAAAATTTTCAACTCGATACCAATACTCAGGAAAATATTCAATACTCGATACCATTTTCGATACCACAAGGATACAAACAAAGACCCCAAAATTTTACAGAATTTTGACAGGTTAGTGTCTTTGGTTTCAAACTGACCTGTTTCTGATGTTATTGTGGCCCACATTAATGACCCTAACCCTAACCCTCCACCCTTCATAATTGTGAGAAATAAATATTTTTTGGTTAAACTAGTTTGGAATTATTGTACAAACCTATTTAACACCCACTATTTTAACATAATATTATGTATAGAGTTTAATTCAGTGTTTGCAAGATTCATTTTACTATCTTTAAATTAATGTCTATATTACCATGAAGCAATTAGGATTTTCTTGCCTGGGATCTTCCTATTGGTGACGTAATCAAAATGGCCGACTTGGATGTGGGCTGAGTTTGATATGTACTTGACTAACGGTAGCATGTTATTATTAGCCATTAGCTGCAGCTAGCAGTACAAGGCTAACGTCACGTTAATGATCATAAACACTGTAAATAAATACATAAATAAATCAGAGAGGGGAGGGGGGGGGGTATCGGTACTTTTGAAAATGATTATCGTATCCGGATACAACGTTTTAGTATCAATACTTTTTTGAGTATCGATACTTTTGACAACCCTAACCAGGACCGGCTCAAAGTGGAGAGTTAAACTCACCTGTCCTCTCATCACAGACATCTGCCTCTCAAACATGGTTTTGTCGAAGCCTTTATCGGTCTGAGGAGGAACACAACGAGGTTAAGATAAGATAAGATAAGATAAGATAAGAGCTTTATTGATCTCACAGTGGAGAAATCCACTGGTCACACATCGGTTAGAGTTCAAAAGGAGGAAAAGGTGCATAAAGTACAGCAAAAACAAACAAATATACAAGGAAGCAACACAGCACAACACAGAGATTTGAGTGACTAAAATATATAAAATCATTGATGGCTCACA